AATTTATACAAGATCGTCCAAAATATGCAGCAAAATCATATGACCAAATTGCTAGAGCATTTAATCAATTTGATGGAGTTTTATATAGTGCAAGTTCACAGGAAGCCAAAGGTGAAGTACCATATGACGCAATACAAGCATATCCAAATGTTATGATACGCGCATGTTTCTTACAACGTACTTTACATTATTTACGTACAGAATTATATCCATATGGTGTGCCAGCACAATTAGCCTCAGGCAGCTTGCCACAGAATAAATTGTACTATCAAATCTATGGTGAATTAGATACAGCATCCCAATATGCGACTAATAATAAGAATTATAACGTGGATCAGGACCGTAAAAGACATGCTGAAAATTGTGTCTTAGGACGCACTACACCATATTACAAACTAGAATTCTGCAAGGAAAATAGGGATGGCGACCTCATAGGTTGCACTTATCTAACGACATTCTATCAAACATTTAGATCACGGTCAATGGCAGAACAAGCACAACTTAATCAAGATGTTATAACATCATATTTCAGTGTAACAGTTACTGGACAGTATTTTATACGAATGTATTTTACACCATCGACCAGTATTTTAAATATACTGTCACCTGTGGTAAATATACATATAAGTATGCAATTTTATTTAGCACGTGCTAATGTTGCACTACAGCCTACAAAGCAAATTATTGCACCTTTTCCCGTAAAAGAAATTGTACCAAGTCATAAGCGTGGCCAGAATATTATTTATAAATTTCAAAACTATAAAGCTACAACGATGATATATTTTTGGTGTATGTCCACAGAACTTACGTTGTATAAATCAATTACACTTACAGCAAATGAAAAATTTCGTGTTTTAGTTGATAAGACACAAAACTGGACATTTCATGCTTTAGAACTTTATCGAGTAGATCCATCAACAAATGGTACACATACGTGTATGTAGAAAACTTTAAATAATAACGAAAGACAATTTCATCTTATTTTAACCCAAATACAAACTTCAAATTAATTCATTATTGTTTATTATTCCAAGACATATACTTTTCTGCTAGTTTTTCTAATTGTATTCCTTCTTTTTATTATTTATTGTCACTAATAAATTTGCATAATCTAAATCTGATTAGTTAACTAAAACCGTCGGCCATAGGATGGTTCTAGAATAAGTCTTTCGATAGGTACGAACTAATGAGAGGCGGCAATTCTCAGTTAAGAAAGCATGCACTAGCTGGTCAAGAATCTGTCAAGAAGGCCAAAAGTTATTTGAGGTGAATCGCTTATCACACCGCATTCATTCCTGATACCTACGTCTTCTGCTATGGCTTACCAAGCTACTCAGATTAGTACCATTTCTATCGTCTAATCTGGCCCATACTTATCACAATCCTTCAAGTTATTCTATCAGTTACTCTTCTAGTCTTTCCATCTCTTTCCATAACGGAATCAAAGTCATAATAACACTATGTCTCAACGTCAACAATATATTGACAAACAAATGTTACTGCTGATGTTCTCAAGCACTTGTTTGTTCCTCTTGAGCAGGTTACCGCCGGGTATTTGAAATATCATTGGTCCACAGATCTCAACTCAGTTTCAATGGGGTCCAAACTCAAAATTCATTGAGTGTCTCATCCTTTATTGCAACAGTTAATTTTACAATCAACTTTTATGTTCACTGCCTGACAAGTCACGGCATTCGTCAAAATGTATAATAAGCGTATATGGCGAGCACATCGCGCATCACCCTTGTCAGTCAGTCCAGCAATTGAAATGATCGTAGCACAAAGGCAGAAGTAGGAACAACGAGAATAATGTGAACAATTTAAGACAATTATATATAAATAGTTTTTCTGTGTATTTTCATGCATTCTGCACTGCAATATTTTATCATCCGATAAAATATGGTCCAGAATTTGTTGTTCAGTATCCTTCATGCTTAATGTTTGACCATATTGTATGCTGATGTACCAAATGCTACTACATTTTCACTAAGGCCAAGCGCTTCTGTAGCTCTATTTCTCTTAAGAAGATATTGCGTGAATCTATCTTGTCTCGTGCCTGCATAAATCGCTTTTTGAAAGAATTTTCAGATGAATTTGTAATAACCGACATCAGAATTTTTTTTGCTTGTTGTTCCGATGTGCTTAATAAATTTTGTTGAACGCTTTGGTTCTTCTTATTTTGTAAATATATTTTTAATCGCGAATACAATTTTGCACGAAGCAAAAAGCATCCGAAATGAAGATTGGGATCATAGTCTTCGACACGAGTTCCACAATCATCGTCAGTGCTTCTGATCGACCATCTTGTGACGACTGTGGTTCATCGTCAGTTTTCTTCTTCTGTGATCTAAGGTCGTGCGAATAGCGTTTATTCGCATCAGAAATGGCTTGATTGTGACGGATCGATTCGATAATTGATTCAATTTGTGCCTTAGACATTTCTCTTGATCGTGTCTCCGAATATAAAAATCATTTTAGTTACTTAAGTTGAATAGAATTGCAGTAGCATGCCTCGTACCGAAGTGACACAAATTCAAATGGTTCCTAAAGCTTTTAAGCGATCTGAACGAATCACTAAACTCTGGACAGAATCGAATTGATTCCGGGGTGTTAAACTGCTAACCACGGGTTAGTTACTGAGCAAAAATTATGTTACAGCATAGGTTATTATGTTACAGCTAAGGATGAATGCAGACGTCAGAAAACGAGAAAAATTCATGCAGTGATCTTCTGATAATCTCACCTGCTCTGATCCGTGGCGTTACATAATGCTCCCGCAGATACATTTAGATTTTGTAGTGCTGCTATTGGCTCGTGCAAGAGCGATGTAAAAGACGATGGATTGGACTCAGAATGAATGATGACTACACTGTAATTTGGAATTAATTTCTAGTTTATAGAAAATCGATGTGGAGAATCGTGGAGCTTTTTCTGATATTTATAAAATGCTCGTAGATTTTCTAACTTTTTAGAAATTTTCTATTTTCCAGAAAATCATTCGGCTTTCGATAAATGACTTTTCAATTTATTCACAAAATCGTCATAGAATTTCCAAAAATAAGAAAATTCAGTGATTTTATAAATACTGGAAATTCGAATTTGATTTTTCTAATATTCTAGAAAATCGATCGATTTTTTATAAATAATTCCCAAGATTCTGGAAATTCGAAATAGATTTTCCAGTTTTCTTGAAATTAATACCGATTTTCAAGATAGTTGAAAATTCGAAGTTGATACGTGGACCAGTCATATTATGTGCAAGTCATAAGCTAATACTTTTGAGTGAATAAAATTAAACAGAAATTTTACTAGGGATCTGGTACTTGAAAAAAGTTTAAGCTAATTTCCCGGGCCCATGAAGCTCTTTCAACGAAGATTGTTCATCTGACACATCCATTTAAAGCTCACAGATGTTTATAGCCCATTACATTCTTGGCAGTTGCACGCGTTTTGAATCTTCATCAGGTTTTAGTACTCACTCTTGCACTTAGTCTTAAAATTTGGATTAGAATTTAACTTTACCGTCTTTTATACTGTTTTTTATTTCAGATGATAAAGACTTTAAAAGTCACTACTT